AAAGATCGACTGTAAAACCAGCCTGTGTGTGTGTGTGCGTGTAAGAGAGCGAGAGGATTAGTTCTAGAAGCTCTATGCACTGTCAGAGGGTCCACCTGCTCTCCCAAGTCCAGCATGTAGGAGAAGCTGGGTGTCTGGGGGCCCCCAGAGCGGCTGGAAGGCACCACTCCTGCAGCTGCTCCCCAGAGGAAAAGGAGGTGACCCAGAGGTCACTGGGCTGCTTGGACCCCTTTATGTGAGATGCTCAAGCTTCCAAGACTGGACTGCTCCTACCTGCCGGCCCTGGAATGGGGTAAGTAGGGAGGGTGAGTGCCGGCAGGCTGGGTGGGAGGCGGGGACTGGAGCAGCTCTGAGTGCAGGCTATCAGCATCTTCCCGCACACTGCGGCTGGGGAGGGGAAGACTGTGCCTCTACCTCCAGGCAGCCTTCCCAGATTCCCTCCATCAGACTCTTCCCCATTTATGCCTATGCTAGACTAGAGCGATAGCCACGTTCTGTCCGGCCTGGTGCCTGGGTTGGAAATCTCTCATGGCCAAGGTGGCAGATGATTGGTGGAGCCCTGTGCTGGGCACGTGGCTGTGCTGTCATGATTTAATGAGTGGGCCTGGACCGATTCACAGACACCCACAAACTTGTTTTTTTCTAATGAGTTTTTACACCTGCAAAGGCTCTATGGGCTTTCATCTCACAAACAAGGGATCAGGCACAGAAGAGTCAGAGCCCACTTTCCAAGGACTTGGGTTTTGCTGTTTGGGGCAGCTTTGGTTCTCGGAGTTTTCTCTAGATATGGAAAGTGCATGCCACTCATCCGTTCCTCACCAGGGGGTCCCCCTGCTCCCCTAAGTCCAGTGTCTGGAAGAAGCTGAAGCCTCCTGAGGTGCATGCAAAATGCCAGGAAGAAGGGCGACTGCTAGAGGTCTGAGTCTCCTCTGCCTGGCGTCCTCACAGCCCTTCCTGTCCATGCCTGGGCCCTGCAGGCCTTGCCGCCACCCCTGCCCCTGCCTTGTGGTCTGCACTCCAGCAGGTAGGGATGAGATGCACCCCTTGGCAGGCTTCCTCCTGGGCTTCTCTCGGGGGAGCAGAGGGCCCAGGGCTGGGGCAGGGGGACTCCCTGCTCACGAGGAACTTGACTCTGAGCTGCGCTTTCTGCACCTGGATGATTTAGCTTACTGCAAGGGAGAGCCTGCCAAGGGGGTGTGAGATGGTTTTCTCTAAGTTTGGGTTAAAAAAACAAGAAAAAAGGCCAGTGTTTGAGAGGGCTTGGCCGCCAGGCTGCCACTGCAACCATGTGGGCACTTAATTCCCACTCCCTTGTCCCACCCAGGCAATGGAGTCTGCAATAGTGTCCTTAAAAAGCGTGCTAGGAGGAGCAGCTGATGGCATCGCGGTTATGTCGCTGGACTTCCACATAGTCAACTGCAGTTCAAGTTCCGGACCCGGCGGCTTGAAACATACCGGGCATGTGTGCAAGTGTGTCCAAAGTCCCGAGAGGAGAATGGAGGAGAAGGGGTCGCAGCAATTTGCTCTGTCTCTCCAGTGAGTGTGCGCACATGCCTTATAGAAAAAAACCTTCCTCAAAAATAAGAAAGAAAGAAAAATAAAGAAAAAAGAATAAAAAAGCCTGCTGGGTCAGAGCCAGCAGGTGGCATAGTAGTTAAGATGCTGGACTCCCACATGGTTGACCGCAGTTCGAGTCCTGGACCCGGCAGCTTGAAACTCATGCCAGGCATGAGTTTGTGTGTGTGTGCCCAAAATCCTGAGAGGAGAATGGAAGAGAAGGCATTGCGGCGTGACCAACCTCCGGGGTGCTCTCTCTCTGTGTGTTTCTGTGCCTCGGTGTGTGCATGCATCATATGGCAAATATGTCTTAAAAAAAAAACCAAAAACCTGCTGGGGTGATGCAAATATTCAGCTGCAGGGACCAGCAGTTAGCGTGTATGTAGTCGACTGAGGTTCAAGTCCCGGGCCCAGCGGCTTAAACTCACGCCAGGTATGTGTGCGTGCGTGCCCAAGATCCTGAGAGGAGAACAGCGGAGAATAGAATCCGGTTTGGCCATCTCCCCTGGGGGGTGATTTCTCGCTTTCTGTCTCTCTGTCTCTCTTTCTGGCGAGCACACGCTCCCTAGAGCAAAAACCTCTCCAAAAAAAAGAAAAAAAAAAAAAGAAAACTAAATATTCAGCTGCAGTCAGCCCACTGGGTGGGGTTGAGGGAGGCTTTCGGATTCCAAGAGTGAAGCTCCCAGTAGGGTAGGGGCCAAGGGAGCTGCAGTAACCTTGGGGCTGTGATTTGGGCACCTCCTAATGATGGAACCTGGTGAGGAAGGAAAGCTGAGGCCAGTGGGTCGATTCCTTCTTCTTTTTTTCTGGGGGGGGGGGGATTTTTGCTATAGGGCACATGTGCTAGCCCAAGAGACAGAAAAGTGAGAAATCAACCTTCCCAGGAGAATAGCCATGCCGCAACCCCTTCTCCTCCATTCTTTCGGGATTTTGGGCACGCGCGCACACACACACGTGCCGGGTGTGAGTTTCAAATCACCGGGTCTGGGACTCAAACCGTGGTCGACCATATGGGAGTCCAGTGCCTTAACCACTACATCACTTCTGGCCCCTGGCTCTTAATGCCCAGCCTGGCAAAGGTGCTGGTGCCTGGGAATCCCAGGGTAACACAACCAGACTGCAGCAGCTGCTTACCCCACCCTCCCATGGGACAGAGGAGGAAACTGAAGCCGGCCAGGGACCAGCCTTGCATGAAGCTAGAGACTAGGAACGAGGTGATGAGCAGCTCTTGAACTTGGCATGGCATCGTGTGCAGGGGCAAGGCGCCTGCAGAGGGAGTGCTGGGGCTCCCCTCCCCATATGCCAGCACCCCGGCGCCTTGTGGTCACCCCCATTTCATGGTAGCCATCAGGTGGGACAGCAGTCTTCCCTACCACCTCTTGGGGCCTTCTCTCAGCATGGCATCCAGGAACTGGGCATGGCCCCTCTTGGGGTGCAGGCCCTCCCTGCTGACACCTCCCCACCCCAATTTCCCACACCTCAACCCAGGCCAGCGTGCTCAGGCCCCAGACCTCAAAGCCCTAGAGAAGCCCGAAGCAGAATCGGAGTCGCTAGCCATGAGTCAGTTTCTTTATTAACTTTGACATGTGTCCAGCTGGTGTAGGGAGGACGGTCTATACATCGGAGTGGGGTGGGGGTTCTCTCCCGATAACAGAGCATGTGGGAGAGAGTCGAGAAAAGATTCATTTTCATAACAATTAAAAAAATCAAGGTAATTTCAAAACTTCTAAAAAGCGTCTAATGTGCAGACTGCAGCATTCTCTAGGCATCGTGTGGAGACCCC